CTGTCACTGTGGTCTCTACGGGGAAAGACACAGGACGCCCGTGTCTACAGAGGGAACATGCGTCGCTCGCGCTGCACCACCCACACCCCCCAAATCCGGTGTAAACCCGAAGGAATAAGACCGGGAGGCATGTGGATAGGAGCCACGTTTCATCAACGGAGCCGCCCCACACTCCTTCAACAAGCAGAGCAGAAGCATTCATGCCTAATTGGAAACCATGCGTACCAAAGGTATACAAGGCGGTGGCCGGACCATAGTCCGCTCCACACTGGTTGAATGGAACCACTCTTTGAGCCTAGCTCGGCCACGAGGACCGTGTACCGCGTCTCCCTCAGCGACGAGCCAGTAATCGAGGTGGAGGGTACTAGACAAGTTGGCACCTTGCCAACATTCACATCAACCACAATCACACCAGGGATATCAAACAGCCAATATAGAATTCGAAGAAAATAAATACGCATTATTTTACACCTGTTATCCAATAGGATAACAGAATTGCGCAAATAAAATAAAATGCAATACTTTCTATCCAGATTAGGAATATGTAGTTTAAGTATAAGACGGTGTGGTCCAGCTGCGGTAAAGAAACATGTTGTTTGCAACATCAACTTCAGCATGCGGCACAGATGCGTAACATAATACGGTCGTAAAACATGTGCATTGCTCGAAATCTTCGAAGGCTGTGTGTGGTAGGCCTCAATCAGAGCCCTATGGGTATCTGCATTCACACTCCGGAGCTGGACTTGCTCCCCACTGCCTTGTGGCTAGGCTATTGATCCAAGCGCTCCGGGTGGAGTCCCTCAAGCGAATCTCCATGTACCCCACTACCTTGTGGGTCAGACTGTTAAGTCAAAGATTAATAGTAGGGCACTTCAAACAAACCTCCTCTGTCGGATTGGGCAGTCTGAGAGTATTATCTGCTCTCCTGCCCCCGTTAACAATACTCCCTCTTCTTGTTTTTCTCTCTTCTTCCCCGTCTGTCGAGCAAGAGATTGCCGCTGACCTCGCAGATACTGTCATCGATACATGTAGCTCTCCCATCAAACCTCGAGTCTCGTTTCACATTGGTTCTTTTAACGTCCGCACTCTAGGTCAGGTCAGTCAACAAACAGCACTATCTCTCTTCAGCCTCTTGGTATTGATGTATGCTGTGTCTCCGAAACACACACACGAGATTACAGCGTTATGACGAATTATCGACCTCCCAATTCTGAGTCTACTAAAAATGACTACTCTTCGCCTCTCTGGCGATGCTGAGTCAACGGCTCAAGGCTTTTACGATATCGGCATCGCCTGCTGCAAATATGCCGAAGGCAATATACTTGGCAAGATGCAGGTGAACAGCCGCATGTTTGCGGTTCGACTTCGAACCTTTATTGTGGTTAATAAACACCGTCTGCAAGCAAGGTACCTCTTCATCGCCTCCATTTATGCCCCTACTGACTGCAATTCAGGGGTTATCAAAGACGATTTCCATCACCATCTTTCATCTCTTCTCTGTATGGCGAAAAACACTGACATCGTGATTGTTGCTGGTGACTTGAATGTCTAAATGAGTAGTCTTTCAGATTATGAACAACACCCGGGAGGCCGCTTTAGCGGTAATGTACTCTGAACAGACGATGATGATCGATTCTCGCAACTGTACGCCGGCCGCAATCTCTATGTCAGTGGCACTGCTTTCCGGCACAAACATTCATATCACGCCACTTGGCGCCCACCGAATTCTCGAATGACCTAGACCCGAACTGATCATATTGCCATCATCTATAGATGGCGCACATCAGTTCACTACTGTCGCTTATTTCGGAGCATGTGCCTGGATTCCGACCATAGTCTAGTGCACACACGCTTGGTGCTCACTCTTCCCACTTCAAAGAAGCGTCTATTTTCTTATCTGCAACTTGAACTCGCAGTGTGCATTTCAACAATATCATAACGAACTGGCCCACCAATTGTCAGTTATGAATGAAGTTAGTGAGCCGAACACTGACTGCAATCGTCTCAAGTGTGCCATGAAGAATGCTTTTGACGCCTGTTCACCCAATTTGAGATGTCCTATGAATGGATTTTTGTGGCATCGATCAGTTTGATTGAAACACGGAAGCAGAATCCAACGGGTCCGTAACGCCATGAAACGACAACTGACAGTGTTCTCGAATCAACCGCGAACGTTAGTGGATCGCAAAGGCCCGTAAGAAGGAAAAAACCAGTGCTATTGGGTACAGTCGAATATTATTCCAAATTATCCGGAACACGGATCCGAGAAAGTCATCAGTTAGTGAGACGACAGACGAGAAAGATGGACAGTTGATCCATTCTCAGCCGCGTCGGCTAGCCCGTTGGGCGGAACATTTGAGGAGCAATTCAGCAGGCTCGCTGCAGCACTGCCACTTGCTCAGTAACCTGAGCAGCCGTGCGGAGCAGATGTCACACCTCCAACTTTGGAAGAGATTCGACATGGGCTTTCCATGTCGAAACGAAACAAGGCTTTCTGGACCCGACGATTTTCCTCTGTTGAAAGATGTAGGCGACTCTTCGTTAACCGAACTTACTAATCTATTCACCACAATTTAGGACACTGATGAGGTACCTTCAAACTGACGACTGTCGACTATCGTGACAATCTTCAAGAGGGGTCAGCGAGCTTTGTGCAAAAGTTATCGAAGCATTGTCTGTCTATGAACGACGTATGAGCTAAACTTTAGCATTCTGAAGTCTACTGTGACTCCCCAAGTTGGGTAAACGTTTACGAGAAGCTGTCTCCCGATTTCCCACGACTAGTGGGTTTTGCTAGGATTGTCCTATATCCCCTCCTCTTCAACTATGTTATCTAAATGATCTTCAATTCAATTCAAGAAAGAGCTTTATGCACCCGGAAAGGTGAAGATTCAGCTGTTACACACGTCTTCATCATTGTAAAAAGAATCCACAAGTAAGTTATTAAGTGACATAGCAATTTGATTCCATTGCAAACTTGTTTGTAAGCTACATATCGACTGAGCTCGGGTTGCAAAAGAACGCGCCAAATATGGAAGCCTTTGTATCTATGCTCTTATCTGGTTGAGGAACTTAATATACATTTAGACAATGCACCATGAAAAGGGTGACTTGCATCGGTGAGTATCTATGAAGCAAACCTTTTGCATAAACTTGTATGAGTAGACACAAGAATGTCAACGAAGCCGGCTTTGTAATGCTTCTACATCGAGACGGTTGTGTCAATGACCTATCTAGAACATTGAAATAATACCTAAGGAAACCGGGAAGTGTCACAGGGGAGCAATAACTCTAGTGGGATAAGATGGGCGACAGATGAGGATCGCAAACGAACAATGTAGAAAGAAATCCTCCGCACTTTTTTGTAAACTTCATTCACATGGAATGACCAAGAAAAATTAAAGCTGATTGTGATACCTAGAGACTTCACTGACTCGGTGCAGTGCAACCTCCCATCATCTATGTAAAGTGCAGAGCAATCCGAGAGAAGCTGCTGATAACGACGGCCTTTGTGAAGGGAAAACTTCACTGCATTTTAATGCACGGAGCGATAAAAAGTGAGCTCTACCAGGTAAGCGACCGACAAACTTTGAGTATGCGGACGACATAACTCTGCTTGGGTCTGACGGAGTGGATGTGAAAACACTACTGGATAGACTAAGGCGTGCCACTGCCCACTTCGACAGGCGATTTACGCCTTCAAACTGCCAAGTACTGTTGCAGTATTGCACTGATACCCCATCGGTTCTAGCTATCACCGAGCTGTCACGAAGTGGCGGATCGGTTCACTTAACTTGGTAGTTGTGTCACCACTGGTGGTCACATCACTGATTAAGTTACTTCGCATATCAGCAAGGCCCGTGTGGCTTTCCAGAGACTCAAACATCTATGGAGCCGGCGGGATGTCAGCCTGTCAGTGATAGGTAGGGTGTATCACGCCGCGGTAAGACCGTTATTGCTGTATGGATCAGATACTTGGCCAGTTCGTGGCGAAGACAGTAAACGCTTGGTCATGTTTGACCACCGGTGCTTACGGAGTAATGCTGACGTATGGTTGGAACACCGGGTGAGCAATGCTGAGGTCCGCCAGTTGGTTTTTGGCAAGTAGCCTTCTGTTGCCTCAGTCGAGTGTTGGCTGAATCTTAGTCGTTTACGTTGGGTAGGCCATGTCCCCCGTATGCCCTTTGACCGACTTCCTCGACGCGCAATATACACCGTGGCTGCACCAACTTGGGTGAAACTGCGAGGCGGCCAGTACATGACGTGACATAAAGTCATGAAGCAATTAACTGAGAGATTTGGTCAGGCTAGTGCGTGCCGTCTTCGTGGATGGTGGCATCGGCACGGTACCCACCAATGGTTCGAGGCCGTATCAGACATGGCGCAGTCATGCAGTCAGTAGCATTGCTGCATCTGGTCGTTGATTTTGGTTCCATTCTGATTAACTCCATGCACCACTTTGCTTCCATTTTCCTTACATTCTGTTTGCCTCTAACCCCACTATCTTGTCGTTGTTATTTATTGTTATCTTTATTTTGTGACTCATGGCAACTAGATCCACTGTACTTCGGTACTCGGATCATAGTTGTTCAACTGAACTGAACTTAATTGAAATTCCTAGTCAAAGTCCACGCCCTTTGTACTGAAGCCTTTACTTGCACAAGTTCAGAATGGTCAACTATCCACAACAGCGTCTATAGTCAGGCTGTCCTTTCTGCTTCTGCTTTTGTCAAACTACGTGTCAACAGTTCAGAGGCCACTTGTCATTTCGATCTCTTTCATCTTACTTTGGTCCATTACACGTTGGTGCCGGAAATACTCCAAAAATTTCAGCATAGGTGGCTCCATTTGCTTCCTGCTAATCTGTATGTAGTATCAATAGTATTGCAACTTTTTGTGCTGCAGACCCATTGTCTTGCATTTGTAACCAACTTTTATTTACTGTATTTTTTACTGGAGCGTTTGTTTACTTTTATGTTGATCCGTTCCCTGAAATACAGCTGGATTCTTCTTACAATCTGATTGTGGATGCACTGTTTGGATTTGGCTTTAAACCACCCGTTAGCACGGAATTTCGAGAATTGCTGGATCGTATGAGTCAAACTAAGCGGCCTGTTGTCTCCATTGACGTACCCTCGGGTGAGTTGTTTCGTCCACCCCGGTTGAAACTTCAGTTTTCCCTTTCGATAACCGTACCTTACACACTTTACTTGTCTCTCCTGAAAGGAGATAACTTTAATCGCAGAGTCCTTGAAGCAACCTAACAGACTGAAGTTGTTATATTGCACATGTATCTTTATACGCTGTTACACTTACCCTAACCTCTATTTTAAGTGCTTCATTCAATTTTGGGAGGGTTTGACCTCTCAGAATCCGTTTGTCGATGAAACTATTTCTATGCATTTACTGCTATGCGGAACGATGACGTCCATCATCCAGGTGGTTCATCGATTGGCCATGGGCTGTGCATTCGCACCTTAGAATACAATTTTTTGTCTTTGTCGGTTTATGGTTTTGACTTCTTTCTCCTCCGTGTTCAGTTCGTCCTGTTTACTCTGCACCTGCTTCGGCCATATTATTCTCATGTACTAAACAATCAGTGGTTTAAAGTATTAATCTACTTTACAAACACCTCCCGAAACTCTTAAAAGCGAAGTTGCATGATAGAATAGTTTCGAAGGCCGTTCCAGGTCCCAACGAACTGATGTTCGCGAGGCGAAACCTTTTTGGAATCGAAGAAGGAATCAAGCGATATAAGATTGGGGAGATTTTCGCTGCACCTAGAGTAGGTGTGTCCAAACTTTTCGCAAATAGAGTGACATCTTGTGAGGTAAAAAATTGTCGGGCCATATTCAGTCTGACATTAAGCTAATAACCAAAAGTGACGTTTTTTACAAATTTTCTTATTACAAGTTTTTGGGGTGAATGGTGAGACTGAGATCTGGGGATCTTTTGAAATTTTTGATTTAATTAAAACCTCTTTAGTAAAGTATTAGATTGACTTTTCCCAGTTGGTTAAAAACAAACAACCATACCTCCTTGATTTTTCAAGTGCCTGACGGCATGGAATTTTGTACTCGTAACGTCCATAATCTTTTGTAATCTATCTAATGTGGTCTGTACGGAAAACATGTAAGCTTGAATTTAGTATTTCATGATGAGGCCGCAGACCGGACTTTGGACATCCCTGACCTAGAGCCATACGGCTATTGTGCATCGCGACAAACGCCACTCGCCCACCACAAATCTGCTTGCTTCCTGCGGACTCGATATCTACATCATATTGTCTTTTACCTCTGTAGATCGCTGACATTGTTTTCCCCCTTATTCTTTACTTTCCGCTCGGTTTAAATTTAACCGTGATTGCCCTTTGTCCCTTGCTGGGCAATCCAAGTGATGAAACAGCTTGTTTCCATATGACTGTCAGTTGGTCGTTATACTGTTGAACTAACCGGTACTCCGGCGCATAGTTTGTGCTCCACTGTTTTGTCAAACGTTGATCGATTGCTCGCAGGTTTTGCTTCCATTGTATCTTCCCCTATAGAGGGAATCGCTATTGCAGCTGGTGCGTTTCTCATCGATCGTCTGTGATTTCTGACAACTAATTCCGATTGCGATTTCTGCCCATTGGGGTAGCTGCATTTTATCTTACGAACTCCCATCGCAGTAAACATCGCTCCATTGATAGCGAACAACTCTGAACTCTCGTTGACGCTTATTAGTATCACGCGAATACTATTCATATCATTCATCTGGTACACCTCATTTTCGCTAGTATTTGTCGCATCTTCCCAAATTCTATGCTACCATAAGGTCTTTTCCATTAATGGGTCGACTTTGTTTGAACTCTAAACAGAATGGCATCGTCCTAAGAGTGCTCTGCAAACAAATCCTGGAGCATTTCTTTTCTGTCTGATCCTCTCGGGTATGTGAACCACCCTGACTTACCAACTTCATCTTGTATACGCTAACCCATCACGCTGAAACTAAACATTTACTTGGTACAATGGTTTGCGCTCCCTCCTTGTCGGGTTACATTGGGTGGCTGCTCTCGGACACCTTGGGGACTACTCATATCGCATAGGTATTCAGAGCAGACGGAGTGATTCTCTTGATCACCTGAGTTTTGGATTGGAACTCGCCTTTGTTTAATTAACACTTCTAATAGGGTAACCTGGAGAGCACTGGCCGCTGTTGCGTCCGACAATCCATTGCGCCATCTGTCCGGGCAGGAGTACTGAAGCGGATGGACTAATCGATTGGGTCAAATGCGTTGTTGCAATGCAGGGGTGCAACCGTAGTCAGTCTACGGTAGATGTGACTGCTCCCCCGTATACTGTAGAATGAAAATATGTCCGTATACATCCCTACTGTCATTCAGGATTCCCGTTGGAGGACAGATGGCTGGACATCTTTCCAAACACGTTGAAGTTAATCTCTATTGTCTGTGTGGATGCTCAGTTGTAACCGAAATCCCAATTAAAAGCTTTTCATTGTGAGTTCACCGCGAATCAAGTTAAATCTTCGTTTTTACTCGAAAACAAATGCGGTATGTGCGTGCATCAGAGCACGTTTGAGCTCCGTGTGCCTCCACATCTACTGGCAGTTTTCAAATGGCGGGCGTCTTCTGGATGATAATATCATGACAATGTTTGCACTGGTGATCTTACATATGTTTTTTAACCTCTCACTTGTAACTCTTGATTCAGTTGTTTGATCCGAAATGTGTTGAGGTAGACAAAAGGGATTAAGGTATTCTACTTTTAAGCTTTTGTCCGTACGTTTACTTTACAAGATAGTGTATGTGAGGGCGAGATTTCTTAACCCATGTGGTCTTGTTCGAAGCTAGTTATACACAACTTGAAGCTGCAGAACAGTTTATGCTCTTTTCGATCTTTTCGCGCTACGATGCTCAACAAAAGATGCGCTTTTGAGTGTTTGTATTTCACCGGCCAACAGATACATGACTTCAATCCGACCGACACTTATTGACTTCAGGTCACCGGATTGAGGTGAACAAGTTATTCACTTCTACTACGGCATTCCAACCTACGTCTCCTCTGTTTCGTCGAAGCTGATGCGATAAGCCGGATTCAACCGATGCTTTGTGTTTAAGAGCAACTTTTGGTCAGCTTCAAGTGACCCTGTAAACGTGGATGGCATTTCGGTTTCCACCTTTCGTTTGTTTTTAGGTTTTTCTGCACAAGCTGACAGTTTTATCGGTACTTAAAAGATGATACGAAATACGTGCATCTGCCGAATTTCATCTTATCACTGTGCTTTTCAAATTCATTCAGAAACTGTTCTGCTCTACTTACTCGGAGACGAGTCCCATCCGTCGTTCTGCAACCCAATGGAATTCGGTTTAGGACTCTTAAACCGTAACCTTCCAAAACTCCGTTGTGGTCGTACCGGTCGATGGGATCTAGTATTTCTGCCCTTTAGCCACTACTCTGTAATGAGTGACTATGTATATTCATAAAATGCTACCTAGCATTGCGGATTGGATCAAAAAGGTCCACTATTCATCCTGCCAGCGTAAAGTTACATTGCGAGGGCACCACAGCCAACAACTTCCCCAACTTTGAGTACCTGAGAATGCAGCTGCACGGAATATTCAACCTTCTAAATAAGGGGAGTTGTCTTTTTTCACCGCTATAATGACTGTTTCCCAACCAGATATTGCTGAAATAGTCTCCTCGATTGGTTGGATGAATTTTGCAGGTATCGCGCGTACTGCTTTCGGGCCGGAGTTTTCCGCATCATGTGTCAATAAGTGCATTTCAGCATTCCGAAATCAAAACAAACTTGTCACTTTGCAGTTTTTCACCTATGGTAGTTCGCATATCAAAACGTAAGAACCTCATTATTTCCTTGGATCTGTCGTCGCCAATTGCTTCCCTGAGAACAGACATATTCAATGGCATGTTCTTCAAGCCCATAAGGCTTCTGATATAAAGTTGTCCAATGAAAGCACACAGCTCAGAAGCGCTTATGTTCTACTGCCAACTGCCAAAATTCTCTTGGCCTCAGGTTCCGTACATACATGAATATGTTTCTGCATCTGGGATGTAATTCATCTATCAAAGCACTAGACAGTTTAGCATATTTCGCACGTCTTAGCATAGGCAGTTGGTTTTGGTCTTGCGTTGAGAAAATTTTGTGCTGCCATCTTACCAATAGTGATTGCTTGAAACTCCATTGGGGTCCACATTGTACTATCTTTTGATACGTGAACTTCACTGGAATATGCAAAACGGCCGATACATTTTCGTGATTTTCGCCGTCATCACTGTTTTCGTGATGAGTGTCACTGTCAGAAATTTGATGATATGAAATGTTATCATCTGCGAACACCTGGATGGTGTAATCACCATCATATTCGTTATCTTCTCCAGACTCGTTATAACCGACAGTTATAACTTTTCGTAAAAGCTCATCAACTGTTCTCTTACTAGGAGTCCTTTTGAATAGGTGTATTTTAGCTTTCGCATTCTCATAAATAATAGTGGCGTCTGAATTGAAAGAAGAGCCGAACTAGAGGAATGCGGTCATTGTGACCCCCTACGGGCTTTCTCGGTAACAAGAACACAAGCATTATTTTCCTTGAAATTTATACCGGACATCAAAGTCACACTTCACAGTCATAAAGTACGACTAAAAATATTGTCATGAAATATTTTCGAAATCTCCTTGCAAATGTAGAAACTATGCATATGTAACAGGGATGAGCGGTCACAATCATCGCTCCGGGTGTTCTAGCGTTATGAAGTATCGATTCTGTATAGACGGTGGTGTAGACGAGTTCAGCTGGTCTGGTCTTAGGAAGCTGACAAGCAAGCAAAATCGTTGCGTCTTAGAGTTTTCGTATTATCAGCCGCCTCCCTTGCCGTTTTTGTATGCTTTTCAGGCGTGACCGTGAGTTGGTCTCGATTTGCCTCTTGCGAAACCTTTCACATGCTTGGGAAGTACTTTCTGGCTTGAGAAAGATCGTTTCCCTGTCTTATTGATACACCATTCTGATCTTGATGACCAGTCGTTGCTCCAGCCCATCCATAGAATCACTGTGTGAACTACCAATTTCGCATCACACGTGTTCGTATGTGTGGCCGAGGATGCAGTGTTTCAAAGTTTGCTTT